CGCCATTAGGCTTACGAGATCATCCGAATGGATTTGGACGAGCAGTTACTTTTCATTACATGAAAACACCGATGAAATACGTGAATCTATGGAGACTTCATCAGGCATATATGAGAGAATAGCTCGTATGGAAATTATCTACTTTTCAAATTTCCATTCGAATTTGAATGAGTCATCTGCTCGCATATCCAGTTGTGCCACAGAGAAAATGACATGTTTTGATTCGTTTATACAATGAAAACTCAATTTTGTACTTTCACATAGTCATTTAGGCACACACTCGTGTATAATTGCTGTCTTTAGTCAATATTTCATAGACACGTGCTTTTGTATAACATACATTACTTATCAAGAGACAGGACTCGAGCGTCATTTTCCGTTTTTCTCCTTATATTAATAAAATCATCGAAGCATTACGAATATTTGTTTTGTAATGGAGGAAGCAGTTGTTCCTGGACGTTTTACCGACGTTGCCGATGAGCCTGAACAAACTCTTTTACCACTCAAAGGATATGAAGAGTGCGATATAGTTTCCATTGAAAAAGCGCTGGAACCAGTTCGCGATTTACTTTATAATCTTGATGCGATGATTTATACGGCACGAAGAAATAGTCGAAAACCAAGAGATAACTTAACTGAAGATGAATCAGCTGCTATTCATTTATATACAATGCAATGGCCGAAACAACACTCAAGTTTATATAAACTACTGAATGAAAGACTTCGTTCGATCGATCGTGAAGGTCTCAAACCATGGTTTCTTTATTTAAGATTATTTCTAAATGCATTGTATAAACTTCCATCGCAGGAAACAACCGTTTGGCGAGGCGTTCGAGGAGATCTGTTTGATCAATATAAAGACAATCAAATCTGGTGGGGAGTAAGTTCGTGCACTGAAACAATGCAAGTTGTGAAGAAATTCATCGGTACCGAAGGTATTCGAACGATTTTTCAAATCGAATGTTTCAGTGGTAAAATGATTCGAGATCATTCGTATTACAAAAAAGAAAATGAGATTATTCTCTCACCAGGATGTTTCTTTCGAGTTGTTAAACGATACGAAATAGAAAAGGATCTATACATGATTGAATTACGAGAAGAAAAACCACCATATGAAACTGTTCCTCCTTTACCTGACGTATTTAAAACACCATCGAACGAAGACACTACAGTACGTGTTCCGTACGTCTTGAATGATCATCACACGATTCCTTGGTCTAACTTAAAATCTGTATGTTTTTGTGTCGTCGTCTTGCTTTTGTCATCACAAAATTTCTATGTTTATTTAGATCCTACATAAATCATTGCGATCAAGAAAACAAGTCATTGAAACAATAGCTGGTGGAAATCGAAGAGGTTTCGATTTGGACCATTTAAATAGTCCGCACGGAGTCTATATAGATACATATGATACGATATACGTGGCTGATTATGAGAATAATCGAATTGTTGCGTGGGAATCTCGACGAAAGACGAAAAGAATTCTTGTTGGTAGAAATCAAGAAATCAGTCGTCCAACTGAAGTTGTTGTTGATGAACAGAATGGGTCATTGATCATTGCTGATTTGGGTAATAAACGAGTAATTCGTTGGTCGAATGGAAGTCAAGAAATTCTCGTTGAAAATATCGAATGTTTTGGCTTAGCGATGGATACGGATGGATTTATTTATGTTTCGGATTGGAAAAGAAATGAAGTAAGACGATTAAAGAAAGGTGACACTGAAGAGCGAGTTGTCGCTGGTGGAAATGGCCAAGGAAACAATAAGAATCAATTGAACTGTCCAGCGTCACTTTTCGTCACTCACAACCAATCAGTTTACGTATCAGATTCGGATAATCATCGTGTTATAAAATGGAGGAAGGGCGCTCACGAAGGAACTATTGTTGCTGGTGGCAATGGTGTAGGAAAGAATCTGAATCAACTAGAAAATCCGCGAGGACTCTTCGTTGATCATCATCATCACATCTATATCGCTGATAACTGGAATGATCGAGTTATGTGTTGGCGCGAAGGCGATCGCGAAGGTGTAGTTATTGCTGGGAACACTACTGATACCAAAGCAGCAAATTATTTATCTTTTCCAGAAGGCTTAGCGTTTGATTCTGAAGGAAATCTTTACATTGCTGATTTGGGTACTCATCGTATCCAAAAGTATAGAAATCATTGAGATTTTAAATCTGCTGGTTCGAATTTAGACTGCAAATAAACTCATCGATCAGTCGAACATGAACCTATAATAAATGTGAAAGATTCCGAGTTACATTCGAATGCTACATGTACTGTTTAAAATGTTATTTCTTCTTGTACTAGTCGAAATATTGAACAAACAACATTTTGCATAAAATCTCCTAAGAACAATTAAATACATCCACTGATCGTATTGTACATTCATTTTTCATTGCATAAAAAAAAGAAAACACGGCGCGAAAATCGATTTGACCTTTTTCCAACTATCATTCCTCAACTTGATCAACTGACTGATCCTGTTTTCACCCACGTCAATAGAAACATCTATTTGTATCCATTTTATTCTCTTTCAGATGACAAGTCAAACACGCACATTTCCTCTTCTCTTTTAATACTATGCAGAGATTAATTATCTGGAGAATATCAAAAGACATTTCCTATGACTAAACTGATCATGTTTCTTTATATATATATATATTTCTTTTTTCATAGAACCCTCTTTCGTTCTCTCATCTACAAACAAGAAACTGAATAGAATGAACGAACAAAGTTAATGTATATATATCTATATACAAACACGCACAGAAACGCTACAATGAAAGCAGTTCTACAAAACAAGCGAGCCATAATGTTTTTGGTGGCACCAAAAGAAACAAGAACAACAGAAAAGAGAGAAAGAAAAAAAACGAAAAGAGAAAACCTTGTGTGTATTTTTATACATTTTTCATGTAGAGTGATTCCGGAAGAACTGAATTTGATCTTTTTAGATTAAAAAGATATCAACTCTATCACAGTAACAAAAGAAAACGACGCTTCTATTGTTTATCCGGATCACTCATATGTTTGGTTAAATCTTTTAACATACCAAATGCACGAATACGTTTTCGACCTATGACACAAAACGGAATCAATCGAATGAGATCAAAAGAATCTTTACCAAATAATTTAGCAAGTGTTTCATCACAATTTACATATTGTTTATTATGTGGATCCTGCGAAAAGGAAGACAAATGAATGGGTTCGAAGGAAATCGTGAAGATTTACCAATAAATTATGTTCTTTGAAATAAGCCCACATACGTTTTACAACTTCCGAGCGTGGCATCTAGAATAAAAACGGTTTTAATCACAAGCATATTCTCGAAATTGAAAGTCATTACTTGATTTCCACCAACCACACTGGCTAGTTGATCACTTAGATCCAATTCTTTGTTATATGACGTTTTTCGACGTTCCGCTTTCACTGATGAAGACTTTTTATTCGATACCGAACTTGTTGTTTTCTAAAGAAAACTCCATAAGAAAAACATCTGCATATCTATGACAATTCCACTTACAACTGGTCTTGAATGTCTTAGACTAGGTCGATTTTCTTGTTGGTGAATTTCCATAGCTAATTCTTCATCGGATTTAGCTATCTGTTGAATGGTATTGTTATTATGATTTGTACGTCGTTGCTGTTTCTTCGATTTCTTCGCATTCGATGGTGCCGGCTTGTCGTCGTCCGACGTTTCCACTTGTTCATCCTCTTCGTCTTGTTCATCATTGTTGGTTTGATTTGCATCACGTGTCGTGATTTCTGCCATGAGAATATCATCGATTTCTTTTTTTCGCTCGGTAAAATCACATTTGAACAAAGCTTCAAGCATTTGTCGAACTTTTTTTGATGATAAAGTATTCAAATCTGCATCTTTGAGAATGATCTGAATTTCCCGACGCAACTTATCAGCGCCGATGTCCATGTTTGAGATGAGAATTCTGAAAACAAAAAAATAATTTGTAAATTGATTTTGAACAATGAAGGATTTATCTTCTAAGGTCATACAATTACTCGCGATGAAATATGAAAGAAAGAGGAAAAGAACAATATGACCGATCCAATGGAAAGTATTGGCCTTCATTGATTTGATATTTTATCAGTGCTAATCAAATGTTCATTTTTAATCTTCGAAAATTTCACGAGACTTTTTATACTTTTCTCATTTCAAAAAAGAACTATTAATTTTCGTTAAAGATTGAAATCTTTTCCCTTTAATACGAATACTATTATAGATGTCGCTAATCGCACATCTCAAAGTTCGCTTAATTCTGTTTTTCTAATTGATATTTATTTCGATGTTGTTTCTCATGGGAAAGAGAAGAAAAGAAAAAGTTTTTCTTTCATAGACGTGACCGATTAATTGATTCCATGGCGTTTGTCTACTATACCTCGATGAATTAATCAACAATTTCTGTTTCTTTTTTTTCTTGGGTCAACTCGAAATTACATTAGAGATTTGTTTGCTGAACAGAAAGATAAAACAGAAATTAATATCAATAATACGACATGTGTAATAAGATTATAGGTGAAAATCTAGATGAAATTATTTTCTATGAATCGACCAGCTCGATAATCAATTGAATTATATGGCAAAGAACTCAATTAATTACGCTGTAACTATCGATATGTAAAAGAAAATATTTCTTCTTGTTCTATGACGATTCACTCATGTTGATATTATCATCAAACATCATTATTATGACTTGCCGATAGGCGATTAACAATGACAAAACTATTGACGATTCAAGTACCATATCTTCATCGTTGATCGTTAATCAAAGAAAGAGAAACGTTTTTGAAAATAAAAATCGAAAGAGAATTTGTCGTCGCGAGAAGAGAAAAGTTTTGCAAATGAGAAAAGAAATCGATTTCGTATTTCCTGTCTGTTTTCTTTTCTTTCTTATTTTCCGTCTCGTTTCTCTCTCCCTCTCTCTCGTTCTCCTCGCCACCATAATTGCTCCAATTGGTAACTGTTGCAATACAGCATAATTTTCATTTCTTATTACTCTTACATTACAATGTTCGCTTCAATTAATTTCTTTCTCATCGTCTGTATTTGTAATAGTGAAATTTTCGCTCAATCTTGTATTTATTCATCAGATCCGTTAGTTCGATGTACAACACAGGGACTCATACGCGGTGCACGGTTTGATTTTCTTGTCAATACATCCAATTCAACAACAATTTTTCTCGAGCCGCAAAGTGTGCATTCCTTTCTCGGAATTCCGTATGGTGAACCGCCAGTAGGGGACAATCGTTTTCGAAAACCAGTTCCAAAGCATTCGTGGCCACGTGGTACAATTTATAATGCAACATCGTTGCCTAATTCGTGTCATCAAATGATTATCGAAGTTTTCAACACTACAGGCGAACGGATTTGGACACCGTTCACACCGTTAAGTGAAGATTGTTTGTATTTAAACATCTGGGCACCGGTCTCAGCTCGTCAACAGCAACCGTTAGCAGTTATGGTTTGGATTTACGGTGGAGGTTTCGTCTCAGGAACAGTAAGTCAAAAAAGTCTTTTTTTCTGAATATATTTTTTTGTTTAGAGTACATTGAGACTTTATGATGGTTCAATATTGTCTTCAACACAAAACGTCATCGTCGTCTCTATAGAATATCGTCTGGATTCGCTTGGTTTTCTTTACTTGGATAGGGCGGACGCTCCTGGGAATCAAGGTCTTTATGACCAACAACTGGCATTAGAATGGATATATAAAAATATCAAGAACTTCGGTGGTGATCCTCAACGTATAACATTGTTCGGTGAATCGGCTGGCGCCGTGTCCGTCGGTTTGCATTTACTGTCACCAAAATCGCGTCCGTTGTTTACGAATGCCATCTTAGAAAGTTCAGGTGTTACTGCTAAATGGGCAGTTATTCCTCCACAAATCGCCAAATACCGTTCGGAGAAATTTCTCGATACGATTGTTCAGTATATCAAAAATCGATATGAAGCTGGACCGGATGATTCGGAGTATTCTTCAATACCAAAACAATGTCAGAAACATTTGGTTACCGTCGAAGAGAAATTCTTATGTGTGAAAAATTATCCGATTTTAAATCAAAATCATTATCGCGCATCGTGGGCATTGGAAACATATAACGGCAAACCGATTGCCTTTACATTCGTACCAACTGTCGATGGAGATTTTCTTCCTTATAATCCGGAAGATATGCTTGTCCGCGGAGATTTCAAAAAATGTTCAATTCTTCTCGGAGTTAACAAAGATGAAGGTGCGTATTTTAATGCCTATTATCCATATGGAAATATGAGTGTTGATTCTTGGGCATCGGTGGATTATAAAACATTTCAAGAAGCGATGAATGATTATTTTCGATACATGCCAGCATATCCAACCGAACGAGCACCAATGATGTTAGAAAGTATTTTACAAATGTATACCGTTTGGAATGATTATAATAATACGATACAAAATGCAATTCAACTTAGTTTAGCTGTTGGTAAGGGAGAAAGATGAAGAGGAAGAGGAAGAGATTTTGTTTTCGATGATTTTAGGTGATTATCATTTTACTTGTCCAACAATTTTCCTTGCTGATGTGTATACTCAAGAACAACTGCCTGTTTATTTCTATTATTTTACTTTACGTTCATCGATCAATCCTTGGCATCAATGGATGGGTGTACTTCATGGTTTGTAGCATTTGTACGGAATATCTGAGTTTATGTTTTTGAATTTAGGTGATGAAATAATGTTCATCTTCGGAGAACCATTGAATACAACCGATGATCTTTTCTATGCGTATGAAGAAATCCTCCTGAGCTTAAAAATGATGAATTATTGGGCAAATTTTGCAAAATATAGGTAAATAAAAGTACAAGAAGAACGAAAAATGTTTTTTTTTGCTTCTTTTAGCAATCCAAATCAACGACACGAAGCACAATGGACTAATGAATGGCGTTTATATAAATGGCCAAATCGGGAGCATCTTGTTTTAGATCTTGATTTAGCAAAAAGACACATTCCAGAGCATGGATCAGCACTCCGAGCTGATTATTGCGCATTTTGGACTGATTTTATCCCGAAGTTAACAGCTGTTACTTGTAAGTGCGAAATGTCAAAGAATTATTGATAAAATTATTCTATTATGCTTTAGCAAATATTGGCGAAGATGAAATCCGATGGAAAAAGGAATTTCGTCAATATCAAGAACGTGTTCAACAATGGGATTATTATTATACAAAATATTTAGAATTGTTAGATAAAAATCGTGAAAAACTTTTCAAATGCATGGCTTAGTCGAATTGTAAAGAATGTGTTGTTTCTGTCGTGTTCGTGTGTCTATTTTGATAAAACAATAAACAATGTAGAGATCATTTGGATTTATGGAAGTGTCGTTGTTTATCATGGAAATGTTTGATGAAGATTCATTCCATTTGTGATAGCCCACGTTGTTTTGGTTTAACACTTGCGGCCATTAATTAAATAGCTTGTTTAGAAGGTTATAGCTTCTAAATTAAAGAAAACAAATCAATAATGTGGATCAATTTTTTTTGTCGAAAGAGATCGGTAAGGTAAAACTTAGAAGGAAAACACAAGAGATCCTTAAATCTTACTATCAACTCTAACTATGGCAACGTGGTTTGTTATATTAGATTCTTTAATAGTTATATGTTTGTCATTGACTATTCTTTTTCTCACAATTATCATGATCGATTTAGAATATCTTGCAGTTCCAATGATATTAATCGCAAATTCGTATTTCGCTCAGCTTGTTCTTGGACTTGAAAAATGATCGATTCCGCTTTAACACTTTTTGCATAGAATAACGATGTCAAACAAATTCGATATTATAATTGATTTCTTACCTTCATCAGTTAGATGACATACATGGCATGTGCCATTTTGAGCTACATTTCTATTTCCTATTCCATTGATATTCACCGAAATAATCGAGTATAACGATAACAATCAGATTTGTCAAAGTCCTTTTAAACTTTCGTTTTCCATTATATGTGCTTCGCTTTGTGTTTATGTCATTCCAATAACGATCACTTTAGCCATTTATTGGAAACTGATTCGATTCATTCGCGTCTTACGTTAATCTACGACATTTTTAAATACAATAACACGAACACGAAAACAGTTACAAATGTTTCGTCGCACAGTTCTGTATTTAAAAATTCTGTTTACTATTGATTTTTCACCTGTATTAATCGTATTTATGTTATTTTTCAATCACTATCCAAGCATTATTTCCGTATTGCTTATATCTTTGTAGATACGGTATTGCTATATGTTATACTCGTCTCATTTCAACTTACAAATCTATTAAGAGTATCACTGATGAAAAGACTTCATCTGCAACGAGAGATTACTGTCCCAGTTTTACCGTAATATTAGCATTATTTTTCCAAAGGCAAGTGGCAAAAAGAAAGCGTGCCAATCCGTAAATGAGTGTGATATTTATGGGTAGAAGTGTAAACAAAACTGGAATTTTATTCTTTTTCTCGTCGAGAAAAGTCTTGCGAGCAGACATCGTTTTCTTCATTGTGCCTTCGTATTTTACTGATTGGTCCGATAAGAGAAGTTGAAAGTAAAAGACCATTTTCTTGCTTGAAGTGTTAGTTATGAATAATTATTTGAGATGAATAATATTATGGATAGTTCTAGAACATAATTTCTGTACTATTTCCAATACACTGTTTGGGGTGACTACAATTAAAGTACTGACAGTACACTTAGAAAAAGTTTGAGTTCGTATATTCTTTGATACTTTGATGAGGAAAATCACGAAGTATTTTGCTTAGTTGTTGTATCTATGAGTGATGCTGTAACGTTGTCTTCCATCTTAAAGTTAAATTCTGATTTTAAACTCTACCTACTTTTTCAAAACAATGCTACGGCGCTACCCCTGGCCTGACTGCACTTATAATCAATTTCATCAATTTGGAAAGAATTCATGGCGTCGGATTTGCATTGAAGCCAATCGTCTTTACGAAAGTACGACGCTTTGAAGTATCACACAAGAAGATTTTTAACCAATAATTGTAGTGTTTCTTTTAGCGAGTTTTTCGACTTTAACCATGTAAGCACTCCAGTGGTTTTAAAACTTTTCGGAAGGTTCAAACGAATACGAAATTATTTTAGAATAAAAAATACTTTTTAATAGTGGACACATTATAATACTCTAATTATACACCCAGTGTGTCGATAAGTACTCTGTTTAATGTTCCTAGTGAAGACATTGTTAAATCGATTATTACTTGCGACAGATTTGAAAAGATACTACTAATGTCTGTTAGATAAAATACGTGATAACAAGTATTTGCTGTTAATAGACAACTTGAGTAGCAATGTTGTGCATCGTTATTCACCTGAATATAATTTATTTGACAACGACGACTTCGATTGGAAAAATAGCTCTGTTGCAAATGCTTTGAGCCCACATGTTTGTTTATTTTTCAGATACTAAGTAGCAATCTTACAGTTTGATGCTCTTTCTCAGTTTGTACTCAGAATTTTTTTCGAAATAAAAATGGAATTAATGAAAGCAAATCTTTTATAGCAACTGAAAATGACGTTTGTACAGAAAACTTTACGTACTGCAATCATGAATTTTGATGAAAATCATCTCAATTCAGCTTCTAAAGACATGCTTTTGTGGAACGAAGCTTGTTCTACAAATTGCTTGATTTACTTTGTATTTAACTCATTTCTCGTACATTAAGCCAAAAATTTGCTATTATATCAATATTAATAGGATTTTCACAAAATGAAGATCTAACACTATTCGTGAATACTCTTTAGATGAATTACAAATTAGAAGTAAACGATAGATTATCTTATATACAGATTGCTACTTAGTATCTGAAAAATAAACAAAGATGACGATGCAAAGCTTTTGCAGTAGAGATTACACTGTTTTAAAGACGCTGCTCATGCGAAAGAAAAATTTTTTTTCGATTCATTTATTTGCTTAACCTTAATCTCGATGAATTTTCATTTTCACAATTGAATGAATAGATTCGTGAAGATAAAAGTATGAATTTTGCTGCGTTCAACCAAAAAGAAATGATTTTAATAGTTTCTAACACCATTATTACGTTTTCTTTCATTGATCGTGTATTCCGCTTCAAATTCTACTGGTTGTCACTTTATGAAAGTGCTATAAAATACTTTGCTTTCTCAATCTTTCGCAAGATTTCTAACGAGCTACATACTTCTCTCGTCTAAAATATCGTGCCTGAATTTTTTCCTTCTCGATGGTAACTTCGAATAATTTTACTTTGATCACTAATCAACCGTGGTTTATCCCGTTTGACATCATTAACATCACATCGCTTTCCGTAGCTACTTTACTAGCAGTAGTTTTTCTCTTGATCGTTATTTATGACAAAGCCTGTCATAATATTCCAATGATGTTAATGGCTAACTCATGTCTGTCGGAACTTCTATTTTCAATTTCACTTATTGGAATGACAATATTCAGTCTACAAAACGATCTAACACAGAGTCAATCTCCCGATCCTCCTTGCATTGTTCGATCTTACATTGGCTACGTTATGTATTATGCTAGAAATTATTTCTTTCTTCTTCAATCTTTTTATCGATATGTCATTGTTCTTTACCCAACACGATTAGGTTGGCAGAGCAAACGCGTCCAAATTCTCTTGGTCTCAGTCATATGGATTTCGTCTTTCGTCTATGCTCTTCCACATGTGCTGACTAACGAAATTGTCTATCAAGTTGACGAACAAATGTGTGAAATGCTTATGCATCTATCTTGGGTCACACTTTACAACATATTTATTGTTTATGTCATACCACTTCATGGAATTGCTCTTATTTATTTAAAACTAGTTCGATACGTGAAAGAAATCGGCGCACAAGTCAATTCTGCCAACATACTTTTGCGCGCACAACGAGAATTACGAATGGTTTATCGAATCGTGGTACTTGTTTCAATCTTAATTGGACTAGGTATTCCTTACACAGCTTTTACTTTTATGGGATTCTTCACCGCACCACCACGATACCATTTTCGTATTGCTCTTATTTTTGTTAATACCGGCTCATTGTTCATTATAATTGCTTTATTCAAATTCACTGATCCAGTCTACCTATTTCTTACAAAACATATCACTCGAATAGCAAACAGAGCGTCTTTTACAAATTAATGAACAATACAAATCTATGTGTCGACATGGACATATGTCACTGAAGCAGACAGTCGGATTTTCTTTTCAGATCAATAGATCTTGTTGATGTTCATCAGTCTTTTCCCGGAAGCCAATCTTACACAAATCACAAGTCAAAACACAACGGCATATTAATGAAAAATAGTTGCGCAGATTAAAATAGAAAGTCATATGACGTTTATATTTGACAAAAGAAGAATGAGTTTTCTTCACTTTAGTTCTGTCAATTAATTTTTCAATACTCATCAATTCCCATTCATATGCACTTCAGTCCACTTCTATTCAATTAACTTTGATATTATTTCTCTTTATAAATGTCTCGGTGCGTTCATACCAGCACATCATAAAGAAAAAAAAATGAATAATTATATAGATGCAATCTGACTTTAGCTTTTTCGTGCGTTATCAACCATCCCGTAAGCTTCTTGGTATAAATCAGATCAATGTCTACCTATAACTGGAACCTTTATTTTGGTAGTCTAGCTTCTATATAAAACCCTTCAGGAATATTTTCATGTCAAAGTGTCGTTTCTTTTAAAACGTCATATTATCAGCCGACAGATATCTACCATTCATTTCGCAGTTGCTTGACTCAGAAAACACAAAATGGATGCCACAAACAACTCCATGTCTGTCCCTATTCAACCTTGGTTTATTCCCATCGACATTCTCGATATTATCTGCCTCACCATTGTTCTCATTATCGTCTCATTTTTCTTAACTATTATTATATTGGACAAAACCTGTCATTCCATTCCGATGCTTTTAGTGGCCAACTCATGTGTGACTGAGCTGATATTCACAGGTGACATCCTGTGGATGGCCATTATCACTTTACAGAATGATCTCACCAACAATACCAATCCTGATTCGCTTTGCATTTTCCGTGGTTATGTTAGTTATGTAATGTGTTGTGCTCAGAATTACTCTTATCTTCTACAAGCTGTAAATCGATATCTGAGTGTTGTATATCCAACAAGATTATTTTGGCAAACAAAACGAGTTCAAATCTTTCTGATTGTGATCATGTGGATCGTTGCTATTGTATGCGCGTGGCCACATTTGTTTACCTCTAGAATCAATTATTTGCCTGACAATCAAATATGTCAAATGCCCCTTCAATTCAGTATTATTTCACTATATAACGTATTTTTTTTGTATATAATTCCAATGAATAGTATCATATTGATTTATTTGAAACTGGTTCGGTATGTGAAAGCAATGAACACACGTATAACCCCTGTCAATACTCTGCTTCGAGCTCGACGAGACTTGACGATGGTTTACCGAATAGTGATTCTTGTCTTCATCCTGCTGGCACTTGGTTTTCCATATGTAGTGTTTATTTTCATGGGATATTTTTCAACGCCACCTCGGTATCATTTCCGTATTGCATATGTTTTCATAGATGTTTCGTTAGTGTTAATCATGGTGACCATATTCAGAATCACTGATCCCTTGAGAGCATCCATAATGAGACGGGTAAATCGTCGAGAAATTACAAATGTAGTCACGGTAACGTAAACCACATAGAAACTCTTGTGTTAACCGCATAGATTTATTCTGTCTAAGAACTGCATTTAATATCGTTCAAAAGAGTATCAATTGTGATCTTAATTTCCTTTTTAATAAAATAATTAAAGAGAAAACTTTTCGAGTAGGCTTTTGGTGATGATATATCTGTACATAAAACGATGTAAGGAAAACTCATACATAGAGAAGTACGTTAAATTTAAACTGCCTTCCTAAAAAATTGGTTTTCTGCTACAATTTATTTTTGAGTTTTGTTTTTATATTTTTCGAACTGCAACTGGGCCTTGTTAGTATGAATGTGTCTTTGAGAAATAGGTAGAGGATGATTTGACGTGTAGACGTTGACATATTTATCTATACTTCATCTAAAAATAAACCCATCGTACATGTATGTGCGAAACGAAGAATAGAAAACAAAATTTTAAGAATGTACAAAGGACAACATGTGATATCAATTAATAATATTACTTTTTCGAAAGATTTTACAATGTAACAGATATATACTCAAAGGTGATTCTCTGAATGATATACTCTTCCAATGAAAAACTGTTCATAATCAACCATTTCTCTATACTCGAAGATAATTTCAAAGGAGTATGATTATCAGATGACTTGTTCTCTTGTATTATTTAAGAGCAAAACTTTGATTGGATTGATTTGTTTCATATTTAATCGTTATTTGCGCGTATCCCGTTTGATAGAAACAAAATAGAGCAACATAGTTTGACAGGTTAAAATGGAGAAAATGAGGACATATTGAATTGTGTGCTATTGATTTTTGTCATCTGATTTCTGGCACATTTTCACGGAATATCCTAAATGCTTGAAAAATCTTTCGTATGAAATAGTAGAGAAAAAGACGATTTTCGTGGAAAACTACAGTCGATGTGTATAAACAATAAATCGTTCACAACTTGGAAGTCTTGTGCTCCTTCAATATTCAATTAAAGCGTTTGAATATCTTAATATATTATTGAACAATCAGTTATGAAGCACTATTTGTGAAATGGTAAAATGAAAATAATTGATGATTCAATGTTTATCAAAGACGAAAATCACAGAAACAAATTATTTGTCTAAAATAACTTTTTGTACTTTTTCATAATATTAATTTGTGAAACCTGCTGCACTAGGTGATCATTTTGACGTTCGATCAAGCAAAATATTCAAATAAGAATTTCATTTAAATTAGAAAGTTTTTTTTACCTTTACCTCAATGTTTTCTAATGAGAAAGATCATTTTTTCATCTTTTCACCCATTATAATACATATTTCACGTAAAATAGTTTGGAGATCACAGTCAGAAGTTCATCTAATCGATCAATTCCGTATTCTGATTCAACATGGAATCGAAATATTTCAACAAATTCCCGTTTTCTTTCAGGAAAAATTCGAGTTCAAATCAAAACATTTCTATTCATCGATGACGAGTGTCATAAATGAAATCTCAGAGAATTTAACAAATGTAATTTCAATTTGACGACTGAATTTATGTGCAATGCTTCGATATTTTCATCAGTGAAAGTTAAATTCTTTATTGTTCATTATCTAAACAACATTATCATTTCGACTTTGTTTGTTGCAGATTGTGGAAACGATCGAATTCAATCATCCAATCTGAATTGTCCCAGTGGAAATGCAGATTATTTATTTCTTTTTGGTTCAAATAATCATCAAAGTCTTGGACAAAATTCCAATGATTTCTGTTGTTCAGTCGCAAATGTATTCGATCAGTTAGAAAGAATACAGATCAATTAAGTTATACATCGACCTTTAATTAACAACTTATAACGTAAGTTGAAAGAAATCAGGTTTAATTTTAATTTTCCGTCCAGGAGAATAAGTTCAATTTACTTTATAGGAGAAGAAAAGAATAGTGCTAATTCTTTTCTTCTTTGCTTTGTTTAGAAGTGAAAAATAAATGGAAGGATGAAAGTGGCACGATGGCTTCGTACAGCATCAATATTATCAAACGGAAAAATGTTATTGATTGATAGATGGACCAGCATCAGTTCTCTCAGTAGTACTAAATTGTGTTGATTAGAAAATGTGCAAACTGAACTTCCGTCTTTCCAAAATAAAGAACAAATGATGAAATAAATCAATGAGGACTATCGTTTGCAGAACGACTTCAAGTAAACATGCCAGATCTCTTATTTAGTGCCATTGTGTGAACAAATCGTTGTCCTTTTTCTTTCTGTATATAAGTCACAGAGTAATTCTAGGTTTGTCCCTGCGAAATGACTTTCGAAAGAGCTTTTATTAAGTGACAATATCCTATACAATGAGTACAGTTGAATTTCTCTTTATTAGAACACATCACAGACTAACACAATAAGAATAGCATTTGATTTTGTGGTAACTTAGCATTTTAGAGAGACAAGAGAACAGTTCGTCAAACTTTTGAACGAATCGAATCAAAACCGATAAGATTTCTAAATGAATTTGTACAATTATTAGCTTTAGATAGAAGATTTCTGTAGATTAAGAACACTGAAAAGTTTCAATCAATTCAAAAGACTGTAATCCATTGAGTAGATAAATGTGTAGAGAATAATCTATTCCAATATATTAATACAGTAGAAATCATTATTGAAAGGAAGTATATGCTGTAGTTTCATTGAAACACTTGAATTAACACTACATTAAAGAAATAGTACAATAAGATTAACAATTTAGTCATTTTCTGTCTATTTCAGTGTGTAACATGTCATCTTAGTTTTGATCCTTCTCACTAGTTGAGGATTCTAATCCATAGTGCCTAAGAAATGTCATTTTCGAGCATCAGAGTATAGTTTTTAGCTTCAATATAAATAAACTCAGCTATTTCCTAGGATAATTGCTTTCAATTGAAACAAAAACAAGATCGTAGAAAATTGTCGATGACATACTTTTTGTTGAGTGCAAGAGATCGTTGCGAGATAAAAATATACTGCGTAATTATTATTCTGAAGAAGAAAGAATCTTTTGCAACTGGATTAAATGACTCGAAGATCAGTTATTAATATAAATAGAATATTTCATTAAACGTCAATATTTTCGGCTGAATTAATATTTCAATTAATCAACAATAAATATATAAATCGAATCCGCTTAATCTCAGTAACAGAAGGTCATGTTTGTGTAGTATATTTCAATCGAGGAAACTCTTTAGCCATATAGAATCTTTTCTCCAAGATTAAATTTGACAATGTCTCCAGCAATCCTAAATGCGCTTAAGTTTAATAATGAACGAAAAAGATTATTCTTTGAGATAGGAAATACTATTAATAATGCAAAAGAAAACTTGTCCTCTACTGACTATAGTTCTGCTCAACGATGTTATATATCTATATATATATATGCGATTTGACTTCCGTGCTGATGAAACGTGAAAGAATCACGACAGGAATTGAGATAATTGAAACAAAATTCAAAGACTCTTCTTGGTATTCAAAGCTTCACGCATGACTACTTGAAAAGAATGAAGAATCTTTTATTTTTTGTTTATCATTACTAATATTTGACAATGAACGAAACAACAACAATTTTCACGGGCTATTCGTTTCATCTTCCTATTGAATCATGGTTCATTCCTGTTGGCATTTTCACTCTTCTATGTCTTCTTCTATCAACTTTCTTCTCTATTGCTTGTTTCCTTCAAATTCTATTTGATAAAACTTGTCATACAATCCCAATGTTATTAGTTGGAAATTCTTATTTTATTGCTATTCTCTTTGGTATTGATCAGATCTATACACGATGTTTTACATTATTTAATGATCATCAACGGATTCAATACCATGATTTACTTTGTAACTTTCGAGGATATTTCGGATATGCGACTTGTTCAATTCAAAATAGTTCGTATTTATTACAAGCTGTTTATCGATATGTTACTATTGTTTATCCAACTCGTTTCGTTCTTCAATCAATTCGTTTTCAGCTTTTTCTCATTACATTAACATGGCTCATTGGTTTGCTTTATCCGATTGGATTTTTGTTTACAAATGAAATTGTTTATAATATTGACAATCAAATTTGTCAATTACCATTGAAATTATCATTTTCCATTATCTACATGGCGAACGGTGCTTATATAATTCCTGTTTTATTGACAATATTTGTGTATTTCAAATTGATTTTATATGTGAAAATAATGGGTAAACGTGTAACATCAGTAAATACACTACTTCGTGCACAACGTGAATTAAAAATGGTTCGACGTATTGTTATTCTCGTTAGTATTCTGTTTATACTTTGTTTTCCATATGCAATGTTTATTTTTTTGTCATTTTTTATAACAATACCGAAGTATCATCTGAGAATATCGTATGTATTTATTGACGTTTCGTTCATTGCTGTAGTCATTGTTCTCTTTCAATTTACCGAACCTTTGAAAATGTCTGTAATGAGAAAAGTAAGGACACATAATATTGTACCGATACTGAGCATCCAAAATTGATTTGAACGCGATTGTTTGGACTTTTTTTATTCAAATATACAGACAATAAAACCACGTCTTCAATGAACTACGCGCGTGCGCGTATATTGTCTGTTGTGAAGCACACAAAGATAGATAATCAATACTCAAGTTGACCAATCCGAGAGATGGATACGATAGATGTCCACGATCATAAAACAAGAGATAATGTCAAGAAAATATTCAGATTGACCTTCTGTAGGATAATTGTATCTGAATTATTCGCATTGAAATAATTCGTCGCGTACGTAGCCTTAAAACAACAATAGAATGTAATAATAGATCGATTCGTATATAAAAAAGTGAAGGAAAAACTGATTTTAATCGATTTTTTTATGATAAAAAATCTATTTAAATGACACGATTTTTATCCGATCTCCTTTTCATCATCTCACTTTAATTATTTTGTAAAGAAAAAATCAATTTTACTCAGTTTTTTGCCTAAATGAGTGAGCATCAAACTATATTGTGGCTGTCAGTATCTCAAGGTATCACAAGCAAATCTACTGTCGACTCACTATTTGTCGAAGCGAAGATTAAAAAAAAATCGGTTTTCATCGGGTGTTGTGCCCCTTTTCTTACATGGGTCGTGACTACAAAAGTCTTCTTAACTCTTTATCATATTAACTCAAAGGAGGTCAAACGGACGAAAATTAACGATCGTTTCGCAAAAAAACGACTGCAAGAATTGAATAAATGGAGGAAACCACATTTTACTCTATGCATTGTATAATGAGAGAGGAAGGATGTGTACTCATCAATCTTTGACACTCAAATAAGACATCTCCATAGAGTACACACGTTTTTGAACGATCCCATTCCTGTTCATTTCAGACAGATTTAACAAACGAAGAGACAGTTTCCAAGTATTATTGATAAGTTAATTTAACTAACAAGCAGGATTACAGGTGCCGTAAGCTGACAGCTGTTTAATTCAAGTTCAAATAGTTTAAGAGAAGATTTCAGAAACAAATAAATCTTTGGATAAAAATAGTTTTAGTTATCGCGTTTTTCTAATTCACACACGAGATCCTAATAATCAAATGAATCTTCTTTCGTATTCAAAGCACATTAAACAGTTCATATCCATATACAAGTGACGACTTTATTCTCTGAAAGCGCAAAATTGAACAGAAAAATTTTACCGATAGTTGCGTTCTGTCTAACAAATACTTGTTAATAGAGTCCTCTATCGACTAACTTATACAATGGATATAATCGGAAATGACAGGTAAATGACTCATAAAAATTAGTTTGCTAAGGTTGTTTTTCCGAGAAAAAACGGCTTTTCCTCTTGATGGCTTTATCTGCTCATCAATCGTCTCAATATCTTTTCAACGCATGTGAACAAGGTGATATCGAACTGATACTGAACCATATAAAATCCCTTTCCTCATCAGAGATTTGTTCTATTCGTGATGAGAACCAAGCAACGCTTGTTCATTATGCCTGTCGATATGGTTATTTGAATCTTTTGAAATATTTATTTGAATCAAAACAGATCGATCCTAGTCAACTACGGACGGAACATGGTGCAACATGTGCACACGATGCTGCTGTTTGTGATCAAATTGATATTCTGAAATATATCTTCTATCAATGCAAACAACTTCAATGGAATATTCGAGATGAACTCGGCAACACACCCTTACACTTAGCTGCTAGTTACAATTCTCACAACGTTCTTCATTATCTTCTGAATCATCAATATGCTGATCCACATAATCCATCATACAATGGTTTTCTCGCAATTCATTATGCATCCGAGCATGGACATAACGAATGCATTAAACTTTTACTTACGAAATCTCCTGATACAGTTAATCAACAAACAAATCAGTTGTTAACGCCAATTTATCTCGCTTGTCAAAATGGTTTTCTCGCAACAGTACAATTGTTGATTTCTTACGGTGCAAACTTTCAGTTAAAAGATCAAGATGGTTCGAATTGCTTACATATAGGTAAATAAAGATTTTTCATTTGGAAAAAGCAATTCTTCTTTATTTAGCTTGTGGAAATGGACACATCGATATTGTTCAATGGTTAGTCGAAAAACAAAATGCCAGTGTTAATGAAAATGATTATCATAACTGCACACCGCTTCATTATGCAGCTATGAACGGAAATGAACATTTGATTAGTTATCTTCTAGATAAACAAGCCAAAATTACGTGTGATAGTCATGGAAATACACCGCTGCATAAAGTAAGACAGTCGTGATTTCTCGAACTTGAGAGATTTTCGTTTTGATAAATTAAGGCTGCGGAAAATGGTCATCAGAGTGCATGTGCGATCTTAGTTGAAGGTACCTGTTCTTCGGTGAATTCTATGAATAATCGACAATTGACTGCGGCAGATTTAGCAGCGAATTCAGATCATTTATCATTGGCGAATGAACTTCATCTTCGAGGAAACAGTTCCTTGTTACAGAAAGCGACAATTGTTCGATTGGTTATTAAGAAACGAAATGTTCAACGTGCAGATGTTTCGTGTCAAGTCAATGAAGATGATTTTATTGATCAGTAAGGAAATTTCTTTTATACATGGATATTTATGAAAAAACATTCTCGATTTTTAAAGATAAACTGAAGGTTCGATTTGGTAGGTAACGATTTGATAACTAAGCTCTGCATGACTAATCATAATAACAATACTTATTGTGATTCAAAGCACAGAATTGAAGTGAAAAATTTCGTTTTTCTTTTTTTAGAAAAAGTCATTATTTATCATCGAGAAAAGGCGAAATCTCGACCACGACGATCAATTCTGGAGATATTCTTCATACTCCCGTAAGATTTACTTGATTTGAAAATCGATGGAAATTTCTTCTTGTTTAGCGATCAAGTGTCGTTGCAATTGCAAAACTTCATTCGGATATGGAGTAAAATGATAAACAGAGAACTTTAAACTTCACGATGACTGAAAATGAATAGGAAACAAAACAACGTTCGTGATTTTTAGCGTTTCTTCGTCGATTGTCCAACTAGATTTTGAGGAAACTATCTCTTCTACATCGATATTTTCTTCTTAAACTTCTTTCTCGTTAAAACATATGAGAACATAAAATCCACCGGATTTGGTTAAATTTTCAAGGTTTAAAAAATAAATTTGACGATTCTCATCGGAGAAAACATAGGAAATGATTTTCTAAGTTTACTTCTGAAAGATCATCGAAAATACGAACGATTTCTAATTGAATAATCACATCGGTCTTCTCAGCTTTCTCATCGATGATTTCAATAGCTCAGAATAAACAATACAACTTGATGAAGAAAAAAAGATACATAGTAGAAGCAAAACTGACAGAAAAATGTTGAATACTGTTTCTAGAGCTACAATAAATCACTTTTGTGATACGAAAGCACATGGAAGAAAGTCAAACCATTACATGAACATCTGTGCTATTTCTGGAAACATCAGCCGATTCTTGAACGTCAATGATTTTCATCAAAGATACCATCAGCACTGAAAGGAAACGTAATGAGATGAGTATCACCAAGTCATTCAAACCTAATAGCAGTTTTGTTAAAAGAATTGATTTTAATGCCAATATTTTGGTCAAATTCGAAAGAGATGGAAAATTTTCTCTCCATAATGGAAAGATCTAGTCATTTTTCGGAAGTGAAAAAATATCAATTAGAGAGTCCGACGAAACAGATACCGATAATTTGTTCTTATTTATATCGAATGCGGCAAATTTTTTTCTAGAATCATATGATTAGCTTTATTGAAGCAAAATATTGTTCTCTTTCACGTCAGGAAAAGTCTTGTAATACAAATTGTCTTCTTGTTCATGTATATTCGCATTTCATTACGCGAACGTAGTTGGCCAACGAGAGAATCGTATTCGACAAAGACTTTCTCATAAATATTGTTTATACGTTTGCGATGGTAAAACAAAAATGAAAAATGTTAAGATCGGCGGTATAAAGGAAACAAAGTAGCCAGCCAATGCCGGCCAAGGATCATTTGTAGATTTAATGTATCGATAAATTAAAGGAATGATTAAACGTGGTAAAGCAAGTATGACTAATATGAATGGAGAAATAATTAAATGATAATGTTGATTGATTTGTCGACGAACTTGTTTAGAAAATTTTTCTCTGTTTGCAGTTGATCGAGAACGCGCAACAAGAAGAATAATTATTATTGATGAAAGTAAGTGAATAACAAATGGACATAGGTAATTAATAACGATCAATATTGAATCAAATTGTTGTAGTTTTAGATGAGAATCATAATTAATTATACACCAAGTTCTTTCGTTATCTTTATCTTCAATTACATTTCGATGAAAAGGGTTAGTAAGTCTAGTGAGAATATTAACAATAACATTTATGACAATAATCCATTTGCAAATCTAAAAATTCGGTATAAGACGAGATAATATGCGAAGTCATCTCAGTACAGTCAAACGCAAAGGTTGTATTGAATTATTCATCCAGTTTTTTGTTTTTTCACTCTGAAGACATCCACAATGAACTATCTTACCTTTTATCTTCACTGGGAATATTTATAAAATCCATTTTCTACTATTACATAGATGAAATCGAGAAAAAAGTTCGAAGTTTCAGTGCGTACGCGAACCTTCAGTTCAAATTAAAATTTTCTTCTAAAATTTTATCGTACTCAGGTTGACAAATATGACAACCGATCCAGTTGAATTTCTAGTAATGAATTAACGTTGGAATCCGTCGGCTAAATATCAGTTAGTTGCCGAAAATCTAAAGAGCATGTGTTTTAACTATATTATTCTATGGTCTTATCAGTCGATTTAGATTGATATTGAATCGTGTGATCAAAGTTTCAAACAAAATGAAAATGAGTTTAAAATTTTCCGTTTCAAATTGTTCTTACTCGTTGACTTTTGATTTGATTGAATTTTAATCCCATTGCAAAATTCAACGTTCGTTCAATAGCAATACAAGCATTCAACCAATAATCAATATTCAATAAAGTTCGAAGAATAAAATCTCCGAACAAACAATTTCCTTGTAGAATCCATTGTTGATGAATAATTTGCATTTGAATTAATAACAAAAAGATAAATTTCAAAGCTAACATGTGTATAAGCAGCAAATTAATAAATGACAAAAATAAAAGATAAACTCCGATAGAACATTTTCGCGATGTTTTCGTGCAAAATGTCACCATGAAGAGAAGTCCACTCAATACTCCACAGACGTACATGAAAAGAATGAGCCCGGCAGTTATTTTAATAGCTGTCGATTGGCGAGAGAATGATAATCGAGGTCTGATATGATAAGTCAATATAGGATCGAGAGATAAGCGAATCGTTTCCATCGAAAATTGACACAATTTTCCATAAAAACACTCTGCACACACGCAAACAGTCATTGTTGGCCATTGAGGTAAATCTTGAAAACATTGAGCATCATTCAAACAAGAGTTATTTCCTTGACAATCATATTTAGAATTAAAATGGAAATTGAAACAATTTGCTCGATGATGGTTGTTGCCTAAACACATGAATGTTTCCAAATCGTGAAAGCATGTCAAATTCGAATCCTCTCGATACGGTGTATGATAATGTTTTGCACATCGAAGAGGATGAAAATTTACAATTTCATCCGGAAGTAGTTCTCTTATATATAAACATCGAGAAGAAGGAATTAAATCTATAACTATCTTATTGAACAGTTCTTCTTTCGATTGACGAAGATAGATCAGATAATAATTTTGATAGACTTGTCCAAAGAGAAGATGAAATTCAATCGATGTATGAAACACAACATTCGTTTGATCAAATGGAATTATCGGTAAAACTGATATGCTCGTTGGTTGTTTATCTTGATGAATTGTAATGAAATGAGCGAATACCAGTGTAGCATCACGAATCAATTTCTTCCCTAGAATAATTTCTACACGCAAGTTTTCTTCTTGACAACGATCTCCGAAGAATCTCAGAGGACAAACACACATAAAGCCATTTTTCGAAGTAGTCCACAATCGAATATCCTTCGGAACACAAAGTCCGTTATTAACGCAAACGGATACGTTTTGTTCACATTCAGATCGACACAGATAACATCGTTGGCCAAACTTATGTAATGGACATAAGCATACGTTTGAAGATTCGATGCAAAATGAATCCGAAGAACATGGACACTGATATTCAATGTCGCAATACAAACCTTTTCAGCCTGAATCACATCGACACAATGTTTTCTCTTGATTTTCATATTGCATGCACGTCCTGTGCGGGCCACATGAAAGTGAACAAGAAGTTTTCTTGGATGAAAGAGGAATCTGTAGTTGAACAGCCGATGG